TTATCGAGCAATAGGTTAAAAATTTTTGGTTAAAATTTAAAATTTAATCAAATTTTTTTAGAGGTAGAATTCATCAACTGGATAATGTCATCGAATGAAACACCAACGACATCTGCAACAATGGCAATAACTTCTACACCTACAGTGGTGTCGGCTTTACCTATAACGGTACAAGCTGCTTCTCATAATTCTCCTGCTTTTGTTAATATGTCCGTCGGCGAGCTACTTCAGAAGCAGCGCCGCATCGCAGTTGTAGCAATGGTAAGAAAGTTATCGAAGGTTTCAAAAGTTTCAATTTCCAGTGCGCAGAGTTTTAACATTTGGTTTAATCCATAAATTCGATTTTAAAAAATCCAGTAAAAATTTAGCCAGCATCAAGAAATGTAACATCATCACCACTTGGAGTGGGAAATCGATTTCCAATAAAGCCAATATCACGACGATCTCTCGCAGATAATATTATTTCACGTTCACCAACTTGCTCGTTAGGTTTGTTTTCAATTTTTTGGATGTATATACGAGCAATAAGAGAATGTGACAGCCGCAGATACATCTGGTATAATACCGAGAAATTATATCAAGTTTTAATTTAATTACATATAAGTAATAGGATCATAGTTCCTGCATTCAAACATGAGGTAATATTTTTTGATGAGATAACGCTTCAAAATTGCTCTGCCTTTCAAATGACCGTCTTTTTTTCACTATTTATGGCTATGTGACACTTAAAGATAAACCAGCATTATTCATTTGTTTTGATGTGTCGATTGATTTCTTCATTGCAATGAAAATAAGACGTTGGAGTGTTCGTTAACTTTTTTGATTACTGCGTGCAACGATCACTTCATTTATAATTGGTGTTTTGTATCTTAAATATCCAGCACTGAAATATTTCGGACTAAAAAAATTAGTTAACGTTTTTTAAAAAGGAGCTTTGGCCATATCCATGACTGGTCATTAAAATAATGATAACATAGTGATTATGGTAATACTTTCTGGATACTAGAAATTATCATTTCTCTACAGAAATAAATGCTCCTTCGATTTCAGTGAAAAGAACAATTAATAACGGTCTCGAAGGTGCACTTTACACATTTTATGAGATTTCCAAACAGAAAGATAAACTTACCTGTTTATGTTTTGCACTTCTTTTGGTGTTCAAAAGTTTGCTGAGTGTTTGTAAAAATCGAAATGAGAGGCTAAAGTTGTTTATGTTTAGATCCCAAGAAATTAAAAGAAACTGCAATAGAAACTTCGCAGCCTAATGTAACACGGAAACCAAATGTCGTAGAGACAGTCAAGGCAGAAAGTACTGCTGATCAGGTATTAATTGTTTGATTTCATGTTGCTTCACTGAATTAATTGTTCTCGAAATGTAAGTTTTGTTTCTGTTTAAAAAGGGTCTGTTCTTTTTTTGGAGTTCACTTTTTCTTTTTAAAGATGAAACTGATAAACATTTAGCCTCATCTAGTAGCAGCACCAGCATCGACATCGATTCTTGGGTCTTTGCAATTGGATGATCTCATACGGCAAATTGATCCTACCTCTATTCTTGATGATCCTGTAAAAACTATGCTCACTGAATTTGTCGACGATTTCGTTGATCAGGTATATTCATAGTGTGAAACTTGATTTTTATGTGTGCTAATATTTTTGATTCATGATTTTGTTAGATTTTAAAAACTCCTGAGAATGATGTTTTACTTTTTTTCAATGTTTTAGCTGTTATACATCTAAAAATCTAGCAGATCTTGTATTTTTTAGAGTTTTAAAGTTTTTAGGTCATTGAACGATCATGTAAACTTGCTCGTCATCGTGGTTCGGATACGCTAGAAGCTGCAGATGTTGATTTTATTCTACGACGATACTATAACTATCCTTCTCTTTTGAAACAGGAACCTCAAGTAAAATCAGAGAGTATGGAGAATGTTCAAAAAAGCACCGAAATGGCGGCACATAATCAGCGAATGGCACTAATTAAGAAAACTCTCAAAAAACCTTAAGTATTCTTGTTGTTTTTCTTGCTATTGTTACGGCTTGTTCATTACTGTTTCAACTTTCATTTCATTTTTGAGTATAGGATACAAACTTGATTATTTTTAAGTGGAGTTACCTCGGCATTAATTAAACATTAAAATTTTCATGTCCTGATTTTTAAACTTTCCCAGTAAATATCGAGGTATCTCTAAATTCTCGTTTTGTAAAATGCATGGATTGCTGACTTTTTCATTGCTGTTTCTTATAGATGAAATTTAACCAGTTTGCTTTTCAATTGATGTTTGCTGTTAGCTGTAAACAGCGCCTTTGCAGCTTAGTTTAAAAAAATTTTGACGCTTTTTTCAAATAGTTGTTCTTTATTTTGAAATTTTATTCACTCTTTTTGCATAGTAACACTGTCAATGAATATTTTTGGCATTCTTAGTTATTTTATAAGATCTCACATATATAAGCGTTTTTTTTTCACATTACTTGTGGCTTTTTATATGTAGTATGTGGCCTTGTTGTGCTTGCATCTTGAAAAATTAGATAAATAATCGATGCATTATTTTGGCTTTAAGTATCTGTGTTTCCAGTTAAGTATTCCATGATTTATGCAATTTTTTTTCCAAATTGTTCTTTTGTTTTCATTTCAATTTTATGTCGTCAGCATTTCAACTGGTATATGGTCATCTGAATTTTTTTTGAGCATTATTTTTGACATATTGCGGGCGTTGAAAATAGATCTACTTAATGTATTTGTCACATTCATGAATGGTATGATTTATATATTGGCCATTGAAATGTATAAGTTTCAAAATTTGACGTAACTTAGAAGCATTTTCTAACGTTGACATTAAATACCTGCTCTTGATTGATCATCACAATAGCCCATTTTTTATTTTTATGATAATTGAGAATTATCTATGCTCAAAATCTTGCGGCTTTATCCGCGCAAATGAGCCTAGAAAATGTTTGTTGATGTTTTAACATAATATTTTCTTCCATTTTTTTCTAAAATTGGTGCTAAGTCTTCATGTTCAGAAAAATTTTGAATGTTTTATTACTATATTTGTTTTTAATATAAATTGTTTATTTTACAGGTATTGTTAGCACACAATAATTCTGTTGATTTTCGTAGGTATTATTAACACGCAATAATCTATCAGAGTACTGGCATTATAATTGATCTTAAAGGTTTTTGATCCTTTTAGTATAAATTTGAAAGCTTCATGTTTATTTTCAATAGTGCAAACAGCACATGAAGCAAATCATCAAACAGCACATGAAGTGTCAAATCAATTATCATTATGTGATAAAAGTAAGTTTTGAAATGCATAAACTCTTGTCATCTGATATCAGTGCTGTCAATTTTAGGATGCAGATGTCGTTCATCTATTCAATCTTATCATCACTAAAGTTTCTCATTTATGTTCGACAATAGGAAAAAAAATAATATATTCTACTTCACTAGATGACTAATTGAATAAAAAGAAGGAACAAGTTTGATACAGCAATAATTTTGATAATGATGTGAAAGTGTGATAATCATATTAAAAGATCTATCCACCAATATTAGATAATAATAAGGATACCAATTTTATATGATAGCAATTTATGATAGCGTGATATGATAGCAATTTGATAAATTGTTGATTATATGAATAAGAGAATGAAATTATCATAATATGACAGAGGTAAGTTTTTAAAGAAAAAAAATAAAGCATGAAATTTTAACAACAACAAATTATGGTATGTATTTCAAATTTAATAGTGAAAGCAGCAAACGGATGTTGAGGAAATGTTTCACACACCCAGCGGCCTTGAACCGGTTTTTAATTTTAAGTGAACCAATCATCATTCAACATTGATGAAAATGATAGTGGACGATATGTATCTAATAGTGTGTTCTATAAATATAATGAATTGTTTTTTCTTTTTTTAGAAGGTTTATAAATAGCTCATTTCTAACCTTTAACCTTAAGCCATTTGATGCTATTTGATTAATCATAGGGAAATGAATGTAAAATTTCGTGAGGATGTTAAATTGTAAACAAATTGGTAGGATTTCAATATGATTCATAAATTTCAATTTTCAATGAATCATAACAATCTTCCAACAACATTTTCATTTTCCTTTTAATTTCATTGATTCTTTTTTTCTTTTATTAACTTAAATATCATTAAAATATTATCACACGATATTTTTAAATTGTTTTATCATCAATTATATTTTTAAATATCATCTTCATTGCAATATTTTTTGTGGTAACTTTATGAAATTTCGTTTCAGAATTAAAAATTAATTTTAAATGTTACAAAGTGAAAATATATTGATTAGTTTATTTTTGAAGTGAAATTAAATTTTCAGTAAATTATGTTTGATAGCTTATAACAATCTTATTTATTCGGTTTTATCAGCAAGTAATAATAATCAACGTGAAAATGATCCAGAGCTTTTTGCTAAAAATCTTTATCGCTTTGCTTATCAATTTTAAAACTTGGGCTGAGTAAGTTTATCTTTTTTATCTTTTTGTTATTATCAAAGAATAATCATTATCAAAGAAGAACAAAAAGTAATCGTTGTAGTGTGCTTCTTGATCATCGAAGAAGAGTAATCGTTGTAATGTCCTTTAGGTAGTTAAATAAGTATCATTCAGTAATGTTCTCACTCTTAAATTATTCACATTTAATTTTATGCTATCTAATTTTTCGTTTTCTTCAAATATTCTATTTTTGTTTCAGTAAGTAATAAATAAAAATTAATGTAACCTTTGGGAATTAGGAAAAAAGGAATGGAAAATATTTGAAGAGAATATTTGCAGCAAAAAGACAATACAGAAAACTATGATAAGAATAGTAATTAAATTTATGAAATTTTATGTATAAATAAAATTTTCGAAATTTTCAGAAATATTTATTGTACATATTATCGAAGTACAAATGAGATTACATGTGGGTATGTCATTTTTCTTTTCTATTTTTTTAAATTCATTTCAAAATAATCGAAGAAAGAAGGGGATAAAGTTGTGTGATATGAATTTGATAAGCAATCAAGAAAGAGAGAGAAAGTTCTAATTGTTAGATTGATTTGAAAATAAGTTAAAAGAGATAAGAGAATTTTAAATTGTTAGATTTTTAATGTGATAATATTATCATATATTATTTTTACAGTTATACATATTTGTATGTTTCAAAATTTTGCTTATTTAATTTCATTTATAAATTTGTTACAATGATTTTATAGTACAGTCACATGTCAAACGCATGTTCCATTTTTGCATGACTTAGAAGAAGAAGGATTGGATACGAAATTACCACTTGGTTGGTATCGTATTGGTACGCTGCAAATTCGACATGATACATCATGGTTTAATTTATATCGAAGACGTGCTTCCGGTTCAGGATATTGGGATTTCTATACGATGATTCCAGAACGAAATTGTATTGGGTTAAGTCGGTTTCTTTAAAAAAGAAAAACTATCATAGATTTATGATTGTAAATCATTTGAAAATATGCGTATAAAGGAGCTTTCAGTGTTTTCCAATATGTACTGCTAGATTGATTAGAGATTTTTATCGTAACTTTTTCATTTTACATCCAAAAAATATCTTAAATTAAATTTTCAGAAGTTTTGGTCTTCATGCAGGTGAGAATTTGCCTGGTTCGGTGACATTAAAAGATAAACGCTGTTTTGATCGATTGATTCGGCAAATTGAACGCAAAACGACAAGTGAAAAATTTGATGTTTACCAGTGTAGAAAATGTATATTCAATAGCTGTTGGTTAGGTACTCGTCTATTACCTGCCTATCGTGAATATCTGACTAGTCTAAGGTCTATTTAAAACTTATCAAATCAACGAACTTCAAACTTCGAAATTGACATTTCAGACTATCGATAATTTCTCTTGTTTATTCAGTTCAAACTTTTTCGAAGAGACTAAGAAGATTTATTTGAACTTACAAGCAAATAAAATTTTTGTTTATGAGTTTTCGAAAATATTTTAGAACAAATGCTCACATTTTTGTTAACTATTTTTCATTTTTCAATCAATATTTGATAGAGATTATATCTGTCAGTAATGTAGAAGTTTCTTTCTTACATGTTTTTGCTAAATAAAACTTAAATTAGCAAAATTGTATTAAGCAAACGTTCTATCCATAATTATATTTCTGATCATTATCAATGTATGGTATTTCTTTTGTATTACAATAATGCATCATTATTTTAACTTATTATACTTAGTCGATCTGCTTAGCTAATAATTGAAATGCTAAATTTATAGTATAAATTATTATAGCATAACTATGCCACAATTTAAAACATGCAATTTTAATATTCAAATAGAAATTTATCAATGAAAATTGTATGCAACGAGGAATTTTTCATTTCATCATTAATAAATTGTGCATTGAAAAATAGATGAAAATGAGCAAAGGAATTATTACAAGGCACAAATTTATGCATTTTTATGATGAAATTGCAATTTCAAAAAGGAAAACATTGAACTTCACAAAATAAATAAATTTAGTAAAATTATAAAGCGGCGGATCGGATCGGATCTATTTGATAAATGTCGAAAAGAATTGCACTATCTTAATGTGAATCAAATAATATTTTTGCAATTTCAATTCAAATAGGATTACTTTTTTATTTTAGATCTCCATGGAAATATATTATATGATTTTTCATTTGATTCCACTGATCCTAAAGTAACATAAAATCAAATTTCACAGAGATCATGCGGGAATTTTATCAATAACTTTTATCATTCAACAATTATGTCACACAATTTGTTCGAAGCATTTTAATTCTTCCATTGCATATTTAACTACAAATAATGAAAATTAAAAAATCAAAGAAATATATGAATGAAGAAGTTTTCTTTCCAAATATATATGTATCAATTATCTAATTAAAATACAACATACTTCGACTTGAAATTATTTTCATTTTTTTTAAATTAGAAATTAAAACAATTTCTGAGAATAATTACCAGTAATTATACTAAAATAATATCGAAGGATTGTTGTAAGCTTTAATTAGTTAATTGTAATAGGAAATTAATTGGAAAAATAACATAATGAGTGCATTTGCTTTAAATTTAAATGTTATAAAATTTCAGCAATAATTTAAATTTTGTTTAATTAATGGCAACAAAAGAGAAAAAAAACGTTCGACAAAATTGAATTGAATACTGCAAATATTTGTTGAAATTTACAAATTTACATATTTCTTTTTCTTATATGTTAAATTTTCAAAAAAACAAAGAAACCTTAAATTATAAAACAATCGACAGACTAATTATCAAAATATATCATGCATTTGATGAGTTTAAATTTTATAATTTGTAACAATCATATCTCATCAAAAGTTTAACAATTCGATCAATTAAATTTTAAAATAAATTTATTGATGAAACAAATTTCTCAAGCGAATCGTACGTGAGCCATATTGTAAATGCTATACCGCATATAGCTAACGTTACAATTCCAAGTATCAAATAACAACGTGATCGCTTTGAACTAGTTCGCTTAGTTTTTGGTGGAACTGATGATAAAGGCCTCATATCAACTGATTTTGTTCCATGATTGGTACTGAAATTTAAAAATATAACTAATGATAATCATTGTTTAAAAATATATTAATTTGCTATAAAATATTTTATAAATTATTTAAATTATTTAATGAATTATTTTGAAATATTAATTTGATTTGTTTTATTTGTTATCAAACTAATGAGTTAATTTTGATAATATCAAAATGAAGTGTGTTTGATAATCGAATATAAATTTTCAGCAATATAAAACTAATGAAAATGACGAAAAGAAAAATGTGAAGTGATCAAAATTAAGATCATCAAAAAATTTTTGCTTATTATTGCCCGGTGATAGCTATACGATTAAAGAATATCATTCAAATTTCGCTCCCATTAAATACCGTTATTTGTGATCGATCACCCATTAGAATTATCATAAATGATGCCATAGTTGACATTTCCCGTTGTTATATTCGTTTATCATTATCATTATTATTATTTGATATTATTATTTATTATTAATTATTATTATTAGTTACTATTACTATTAATTATTATTAATAATAATTGTTATTAATTATTATTGTTAATGTTATTACTATTAATTATTACTATTAATTATTATTATTACTATTTATTATTATTACTATTAATTACTATTATTATTGTCAATTATTATTATCACTATTAATTAATGTTATTATTAAATTATCATTCATAATCTTCTTTTTTCCCTTTCCTCTTCTGTACACATATCATCATTATATATTGTTAAAATTGAAATTTAATTTTTCTTCTCAAATTCCACCCAACATTTTATGCACATCCCGTAATTGACCGTGAAATTTCTGCTCGATGAATATGTTCATCAATTTTTCTAATTGTATTTCCATCAAAAAAATTGAAATAAGCTGAAATGATTACTCTTAAATATAATAATAAGGTTAATATATATTGATTAGAACGAGAAATTAGTTTTGATAAATCATTCCTTTGTATTATTTCCTATCGAGAAACTTCATTTTCAAGCGTTGTCATTATCACAATTAAAATGCCTATATTTCAAACGCTGTCATTATCACAATCAAAATGCTTATTATATTTCAGCTCGAAATTAAATATAAAGAGAATAAAGAAGTAATCCAAAAAAGAAGAGGAAGAAAAAGAACTTAGTATAAGTATGATCGATGGTAACGCTTAATTTTCGGGTTGGAGTGCTAACTCGAGATGTTTTCGGATTAGGAACTCCTATAGTTGAACAGCTTGAAAGTTTTGATTCCGCAACACTTTCAATATCGGAAACATTCTCGTAAAATGTTGATGAGCCATAATGAGAACCAGGTTTTAAGCCTTCCTCCATATGTTCCAATGATGGACGACTTACTCTGTATGTTGTTGATGCTGAAAATTATGCAAAAAATTATGTATTGTATTTTTTTTTACCACAAATTATTTCAATTTAACAAAACTTAAAGCAATTTCAAACTTGACAAAATTTTAATTGTTAAATTTTAAGATTTCTACACTTATTATTTTTATTGATAAAAATTTTTTGCACTTAATTTAATTGCTAAAAAATTAAAATCCATTTCAATTTAAATGCTAAAAACAATTAGTCATAATTATGCAAATTTTATTTTTAAAAAAATATTTCAAAAATTTTTTTTGAACTAATTTTTTATGATAAAAATTACATATCGAAAAATAAATATTTACATTGAAGTTGTTGAAGAGGGCAAATTTAATTAGTAATTTTATTACGCAATTTGTTGTAAATGACAGAGCAACTGTTTTATGAAAAAGAAAATAAATAGGTTATATTGCAAAAATTTATTCTTACTGGTAACAAATAAAAAAGATATCATAAAATTTAATTTATCAAAATTATCAAAATATTTTATCCATAAACGGATAGAAATGATTAGTATGTAATAAATCATATTGAAATAGAAAAGAATGGGAGGTGTTTTTTTTAATTTAATTTTATTCAATCAATAAAAGAAACTAATCAGAAATTTTAAGGCTAAATCTCTGGTTAGATGATCAAATCATTTAAACAAATTTCTCCGGAAATTTTAGAAAGCGGAAATTCTATTTGATGATTATATGATATAATAATAAATCATACCGAAACTTAAAGCCATCCGTTTTCAAAAATTTTTTAACAACATTTTTCTCTTCAAAAATTTCTGAATATTAAAATGTTAAGGAACTAACAGCCAAATTTAACGAAATGATTAGATTGGATTGAATTGTTTATCGAAATGAAAATTTATCAAAATCATTGATCTAATGGATATAAGCTTCCTGGTTTGTTTTGTAGATTAAATCGGATACTTATTTATTATGTCCATTATTTTTATTCGTCTGTTAATGAAATGATGATAAATTATCAGTCAACTGATAAATAGATATAACGTCAATGACAGCAAAAAGAAAGAGCCTTGCGGAGTAAACAAATATTTTAAAAAATACAATCAAATATAATTATAAATCAATTCTCCCTGTTAATTGCAAATTTCATTTATTGGAAGAATTTATTCATTTCGAAATTTCGAAAATGAAAAATGAAAGCATTGAGAATTAATTGTTTACTATTGCGAAACAAAAATTTAATTTTAATTAATCTGAAAAATTAATAAAGGATAAGTTACAAGAAAAAAACAACATTCCAATTAATTAGCTACAGATGTTTTATGATGTTAGAGGTATAATTTTTACGTATAGTTATAGGCATAGCTATATCATCATCATCATTTAATTATTATTATCATTGTTATTGTTATCGTTATCATTATCGCTATTATTATTATCATTATTATTATCGTTATTATTATTATTACTATCATTGTTATTATTATTATCGATATTATTATCGTTACTATTTTCGTTATTATTATCATTATTATTATTATCGTTATTATTGTTATTATTACTATTATTATTATTGTTATTATTAATAATAATAATAATAATCTTGATGAGTGGAAATAACAAATAATTAACAGTTGGTTGATTAATGAATGACATTTCTCAAAGGTTCAATTTGTACTACGTGATAAAAATATCACTTGTTAATTCATAATCATCAAAAATGATATTAATAGATAGCAGATTATTACTAAATAATCATTTGAAGAATGATATTAATTGTAACAGACAATATATAATAGTTATAATTAAATTTGATTTTATAGAAAAGGGAATTATTAAGAAAAGAAAGATTAAATTGTTAAATTCATTGGTTGACAATTAATTCCATCGTTTCGATCGTTGATGAAATTATAAAATAGAAATAACTAAAATTTAAAAATTTTTGAATGAGAAAATGGCAGATCGATGGGACGACTGTCAGATGAATGAATAATATTTTATTTCTTCACAAAAATTATTATTTTGCAAAATAAAAGAAACCTTCAAAAAATCGATTACAAATTTTATCCAAAGAAATGTATCGCTTTTTTCTCGTTAGCATTCATATTTTGTTTAATGTATTATAATCCATAAAGTGTACTTGACAGAATTAATAGTTGACAGTCAATTCTGATCATTAATTCGTCCCTTCTTTATGTCGTTTTATATGTTCTAATATATGACTTCTATATCTTTTATATTTTTATACGTTATACATGACTTTTATAGCTTACATATTATGCCATATCAAAACACATATCTTGATATATGTTTTGATATGGCATAATATGTAAGCTTCTATCTTCCACATCAATATTGCCATTTATCATTTAACTATTTTTTCTAGCCACGGAGGCTTTCATATACTATTTATCATATTATTTAAATTTAGAAAAATTATTTTTCATTGCTTTTAAATTTTACTAAAGAAAAATAGCACTAATATAGTAATTATTTAAATTTAGAATTTATTTTTTAAAACCGATCACTAATATCCATTTATCATTATCAGTATGATTAAGAAGGTGCGAACATAAAAGAATCAATGAAAACTTTTTATGTTCTCAAATAATTATTAATTACTGCAATAAGATGAATGTATCGTCGGATGAGTTTAATTTTTGCTTCTTTTTTTTTTTCAATTCAAAATATCTCGTTGAAAATACTTCTGTCAAACCAATCACACATTCTTTTCTTTTCATCCCAAAATTGCAAACATCAAAAAGCTCAAATGTTGAAATGAACTTTTGTTGTCTCATAAGAAATAGGTGAAGGATAAAATGTGAAGTAGATATGAATGAAATGCGATGATCAGATAGTTTGAAAATTTTATTTTGCTTTTTTCCCCAGTGTATCGGTAGCAAAACAAAAGTGAAAAAGCAAAAGTAGTAAATAAGTGATTGGCTAATATTATTAATAATAGTTATTGGATAGACTAATATTAATAATAATAGTTATTGGATAATTACTTGAAAGAAATTATTTTTGACAATAATTTTATTCAATTTTTATAATTTAATATCAATGGCTGAATGGAACGAATTAAATTAATTATAGATATAAATATATGTGTATTTATAATTATATATATTTATGATATATAAAAGTCGGAAATGCTTGAAATCAATAAATGATTTCAAGCGTTTCCGACTTTTACAAACCGCTTCCGGTTTCTATTTTTACAAATCACTCACTCATTTCCGAAGGGAAATAAAATTAAGACTCGTTTTGTTTCTTCAATAGAAAAATAACAAATCGAAATCCTAACAAATACATTGTCAATTATCGCTAAATTGATGATACTAAGGTAAAATGGTACAAGTGCGCCATATGATACCGTAATGGCAATGAAATTTGAAACAAAATAGCTTATCAAAGCTTTATGGATAATAAGTTTCATTTTGATCATTTCATGATTCCACCCGTATCATAACGATGCAGTAAGCAAGAAAAATGTCACATGAAGGATTCATTCAATTCATCGGCGATACAATGCAACAACAAAAGTTCCTATATGATATTATTATTTAACTGTAATGCAATTTATCCTAAATTGCCACTATTCTAAACTGCCACTATCCTAAATTGCTTTTGTAATGAAAAAGATGAAAGAGACGGATATTATAGGAGAAAATAAAAATGTGTAATCTATTGCAATTCGACGATAGCATTAAATAATAGTTCGAATTATTTGCATTATTAAACAAACAATAAGTATATCTGTGAAACTGTTTGCAAAGTACAACGTTTTTGTATAATCAATAAGTTAAATTACTTTTAAGAGGAATTTATCAATTTGCCTTAAAAGTTACTAAAAGCTCGTAATATTTTATATATAGTCCAATTAAACTCATTGTCTTAATTGCTTCAATAGCAATAAGCCAAAAAATGAATTGTTAAGTAAATGATGAAAACATAAAATTACTATTTCAAATATAAAGTATATTACTATTATTTATGTTTGTATTTGCGTTCTAATTATCTATTTAAATGTTTTCAAATGATTATATTTGTATTTCTTGGCAGAAAAAAACGTGAAATTTATCACGTAGCACGTTTTCACTTAAACGGATAATTAGGAAAGAAATAACGCGTGCGCAGAATAACACAAATTGAAGGACAAATATACGCATGCACAGAATAACACAAGTTATAGGGCAAATATATGCATGCACAGATTCACAAATTGCAGGACAAATATGCGCATGCACAGAATAACACAAGTTGCAAGACAAATATACGCATGCACAGAATAATACAAGTGGATATTAACATCTCATATTTGAAATAATAATTTTATGCTGTCATAATTTATTTAATAACTCTGCCAAAATCATTTTTCGATTTTAATTGAAGTAATTTAGGCAGGAGGCTTTTCGATTATAAGTAATGATCCTCATGCATTCCTCATGCAAACTGATTAGGATTATATTGTGATATTATTATATCGCGGGGCCTAAATCCTCCCTTGATGATAATTAACAAAATAAGATGATAAAATTCACATTTAGAATAATTTCATCTCAAATAAAACCAATGTTTCTATACTTTTTATTTTTATTTATTTCCAAAAATTGTTAAAGATTTTTTTGTTTGATTTAAATTAATTTTTTCCTTTCAAAAGTTGAATTTCAACTGAACATTTTTTCATGCTGTAAAAATAGTAATAGTAATAGATTTACAACCAAAAGAATATAGCATATGCTTCTCCCGAAAATTTAAGCAAATCAAAAAGGCACTATAGGATATAATATATTAATTGGTTAATTGCTATCTAAACACCAAATATAAATTATAAAATTATGTGGCCTATTTCTAAAATGAATTCAGGATGATGAAATTCGGATATATCAACGAATATGCTAAAAAATTGATATAAAATTGATATGAAAAATTAAGTTAAATAATTTAAATGATGAATTTACGGAAAAAAATTAAGTTGGAATAATTTAATTTAAAAATTAAATTAAGTAATTTGAACGAAAAATTAAGTTAAATAATTTAAATGATTAAAAATGAATAATTTCATTGGTAAATAGTAATAACGAACTTTTTTGCTTCCTCTTCACTCGATCATGATTTTGATGCATAGCCATCGGCAACATTTCCGTTCTTCAATTTATCTCGGAACTCGAACACTTATTTAAATTTTTGCGATCTAAAAAAAAAATGAAATATATATATAAATTATAAATGATAATATCATTATCGTAATTACTTGTTACTTTATAAGTGCTCAACGAAGTAGAAAAATGATGAGCGAAAAAAATGTGAAATAAATCTGAAGATATCGGGAAAAATCAACAGTGAATAAACTATAAACGAATATATCATTATCGTAATTACTGAATGTAAATTATGTCTCTTCACTCGATCATGATTTTGGTCAGGTGAAGAGATTTAATTAATAACAAATATTTGTTATAAGAGACTTAATTAATAACAAATAACAATAACAAATATTTGTTCACATTATGTGTAAGCAAAATTAAAGAAAACTGAAGTAATCTTATTTAAAATTATTCCGATTAAAGATTTATCAAAAAAATGAACAATCAGAAATGTTTGATTTATTTTATAATAATAACAAATGTTTGGTCACAATTTCTTGTCTACAAAATTTCGTTGCATTCGATTAACAGAAAATAGAAATATTTTTCAAAAACGGAAGATTTCAGATTCCGATAAGTTCAATAAGTTGCATATTATTAGTTTATTTGAATTTTAAATTTCATATTTTTAACATTTCAAACAAAAATAATAAAGCAAAATTAATTTCCGAATTTCCAAGCATTCAAAGATTTGATGAAATATTTATAAAAGCTCAAATCAAATTTTCGAACATTAAGCATCATTTTAGATCATTCTTTTTAAAATATAGAAAATTTAAAATGGATCAGATCAATCGTTGATTGAAATAAATGATTTCGTCACAATTGATTACTGAAAATGAAATTTCAACAATGAATTTTAATTTGATCGACGATGATTCATTTCATCTTCTCTTCAATATTTGTCTCACAATTATTTTCTTATTTCTTTAATAATACTTACTTAACGTTTGATTAATAATAATAGTGACAGTATGGAAGAGTAATAATTAATATCTGTACAATTTCGGATACGATATAAAGTAGCTGGCTGTAATAATACTTAATAGTGACAGTATGGAGGAGTACTAATTCACCTCTGTACAATTTCGGATACGATATAAAGTAATTGGCTGCATATTAAAAAACGAAAACCTTTTTCTGATATAAATTATTTTTCTTATTTCATTCTATTTAATCTCAAATTGAATTACGGATCACATTTAAAGAACAATGAAATTTAATCTTTCATCATTTCTTAATTTTTAGAATGAAAAAAGTAATTAGATTTCATCATAAAGTAATTAGATTCCATCCTGATAAGATTAACAGATGGGTGAATTGGTAAAAGTAAATTTGTTCTAATAAAAGCGAGTAAAACAATAATGTCACCAGCTATCTCTGAACAGCTGATTTCCTTCATAAGACACCTGTTAAAATAACTGTGCCTAATCCTGACCTCTATCAAATAGATGAATGGAATGAATTTGGATCTCTTTCAAAAATAAAGAAGAAGAAGAAATAAAATGATGAAATTATCAGTTGCTGAATCTTTACTAATTTAAGTTGATAATATTTATAAATGAAAAAATACTGTAATGCAATTACAGTATCAATTTATCCTATTATTTTCTCTTAAAAATTATTTCAAAATTTTAATTCATTATAACTTATTTATAAATTAATCAAATTATTACAGTAAACTTTCATATAATTAAATTTTATAAAATGGAAATTCCTTTCTTTTATACTTTACAAATTATTTCACAGTTATTTAATTCATCAAATATTTAGAAATAGGAAATGATAAGAATGAGTAATTAAAAGTAATTGAACGATTGAAAAAAAAGTTTAGAAAATAAAAGCAAGTCTGGGATGTGCAAAATATCTTTGCTATCTCAATTAAACAACTTATCACTTCGCTAATCGATCGACTAGTTTTTGAGTTTAGTTTTGTTTCCACAACTGCTCGAGATGTTTGCGTAGGAGTTATATATACATATATACGTACAAGTATATTTTTATAAGTGTGTATGTATGCACGTGTGTATGCGTGTGTTTATATCTGTGCGTGTGCGTATTGCGTATGCATGCGTATGCGTATGCGTGTATGTGTGTGTATGTGTATGTTTGTGTATGTGTGTAGATTTTGATTGACGGTGCACACTTTGAAGTTTGATGTATGAGAGATAGCAAAGAAAAATTAGTGAAATTAAAAGTTATAATTTTTGCAAAAATATAAACAGAGAAAAAAAGCAGAGAGAGAGAGATAGAGAAATAGCGTACAGATATATTTAATGTACGAATTTCCCATATTTATGTTGGAAAATATAAAAGCAAAAAAGTTATGATAAGCCTAAAACAAAATATTCTCTCAATCGAAACTTAATGATATAGCTGGCATATATCAATCAAACACCAATTTTTCAACATTACATCATTTTTGTTGTTAAATTAGAATTTTGTTATGAAAAAGTTTTATTGACGTCAAAAAGTGTACTCATCATCAGGCGTGAATTTTAGTGACGTCTTAAGATTGAGCTGTCTAGTAATATCTCAAAAATTAAAATCAATTTCAAAAATATCAATACATTTTAATAAATAAATACAGTATGAAATTTTAATTTAGAAGATTAAATTTATTTCGAAAAAAATTTAAATTTCTCATTTTTCATTAATAATTGAAATTTGTGAAAAAAGGAATTTTAGGTAAGATTGTGAAATGGAAATAAAAATAATCCAACTGCTATTAAAATCATTAACTTACTATCGTATATCGGAAAATATAAATTTTTGTTTAATAAAATATGTAATTGAAATTTCGCAAGGGAAAAAAGAATTTTAGGTAAAATTGAAAAATCGAAATGTAAATAATCCACTGCTATCTCGTATACTGGAAAATATAAGTTTTAATGAGTAATTTTTTATCATGCAAAAGAAATATGATTGGATTGCAGTTTCTTTTGTTTTAACTAAAAACTTCATATTCATAACTATTCCTGAGGAATAATTAGACTTGTTAATTAGACCTGACTTGTTAGTCAAATTTAATCAAAAAAGTGACAGATTTGATTCATTGATCGAAATGAAAATATTAATTAACTGTTTTATTAATCAGTTAAGAATTGAATATTTGAATTACAAATGGTTTTCTAGTTTTTCATTCATTTAGGAAACATTTTTGTTCTCAGATTTTATTCTAAGTTCAAATAATCAACTTTATATGTCACTGAAGACAGTTGACAGATTTAATTCATTGATTGAAGTGAAAGCATTAATTAACTATTTTATTCATTAGTTAAGAATTGAATATTTAAATTACAAATGGTTTTCTAGTTTGTTACTCATTTAGGAAGCATTTTTGCTTTTAGTATTTTATTTCAAGTTCAAATAAACAACTTTATATATCACCGACGATAGTTTTAAATCAATTCTACTAGTCTATCATCTTTTCCTTACAACAGAATGTTTTTTGACAATTCATTGTCGAAAAAAGAAAATGGGATTAACAACAACTGATATGTATAAAACATTTTTGACAGTCTCTTGTGGAAAAAAACATCTTCAAATATTTGCCTTTGCTAGAAATCATTGGAAGATAAAATAGCAGAATTAATAAAACTGAAATGAATTCTTTTATCAAATGAAAATAAAGTATCAAATTAATAGCTCACAATAAGATTGAACTGATCTGAATGGAATTGTAATGAAATGAATTGAACTAGATTGAATTGAATTTGATCGAGTCGTCGGAATATGTAAACGCTTGCAATTTACGGAGAAATACTTTTACAGGATTAGTTTAGGTGATTGTAAAAAAATTTCATGTGTTCAAATTTTAATTTTTATATTCAATGAATTTATACTGAACTACTTTATACTTATAGCTTAACTTTCTAGTAAGCTCAATTAATGCATTTCAGACTATGGCTTCCACTCTTTTTCACATCAGCTCTGATCGATTAGAATGAGTTTACAGGCCATAAATGGATATATGCAGGCTTAAAGAATTCTAAGCAAGATATCTCTCTTAAATATTGACTATGTTAAAAGACACTTCCCCTACTTAATCCTAAAATATGCCACAATCGATTTGTGCCTCAATAATAAACAACTGCGTTTGCTTCCAATCTGTTTTGCCATAAAATTGATTCATTAGTCCATTGTTATTTCAAATATTCTCATGTTATTTCAATTAATTGCACATTTAATTCACAAAAACCAATCCGGCCACATGTATCTTCTTCTCCACCGAATCTTTCTTCCTAACCGGTTTCAATCAATCCTGAAATTATATCGACTATAGCATTCAACTTTTTTCGATGTTGCAGATTTTTCTTTTTCTGTTTTCAACGAAATAATGCTAGATGAGGTGAAATGTTGAATTATATTTAATTTGAAAATAGATGTTGAAAGTATGATGGCGTAAAAACCCCCTCACCGCCTAGGTTTCCAAACAGGACATTTTAGTAGCTTCCAATAAACGATAAATAACTACGGAGAGATAAGTAAGCCACGGAATAAGCTACGGAGAGATAAATGTACAGATAATACGACGTTAGCGTGGTGGTTTGTGAAATTTTCATCGAGGTGCTGGTTTGTTATTGAAGTGTGGTTTCTTTTGTGACGTGTTACGTAACGTACGGTTTAGAAAGGAAACCTGGAGGAAGAGAGGAGAAGAGGGGTACTTCCCGTTAAGTTAGTGCTACTCTCTACTCCTTGTTTTTGTTGTGGTAATCATTCATCGCTTTAGTACTCATACCTTTTCCAAATGATTATTGTATACCTACAATACATATATAAAGCTATGATATATTGCTTTCCTATATTTCAGTGTGAAATTCAGTTGGAGTGTAACCGTTAATAACGCAAGTAACTTTTTCTCTTCTTCCTTAAGAAATACGAAATACGTGCGGTAAAAAGTGGAAATTATTGAATTAAACAAGCATAAATTTTATGGAAAAATTTCAGCATTTTAAAATTGCTCGATGATGGATTCGCTTTATCGAAGCGAAGAAATGTGCTTAGCGCAATTGTTTCTGCAAGCGGAAGCTGCGTATACTTGCGTTGCAGAGTTGGGTGAATTGGGTCTTGTGCAGTTTCGTGATGTATGTTTGTTTCTCTTTACAGTTAATATCATTTGAAATCTATATTATTGGATCGATTTTTGTCTTTGATGATTAATATGAAACGGTATGTGACGATGATAATTAATAATTTTGTTTGATGGTAATAATTGTTGATTGCGTTGTATTTGTTATAATGATGAAAATGTTTATACTTAACATTTCAGCTTAATCCAGATGTAAGCGCTTTCCAACGAAAATTTGTGAATGAAGTACGACGATGTGACGAGATGGAACGAAAATTGAGTATGTTCAGCGTTTCCAAAGCAAAAAATAGAAGAATCCGGAATATAGTATCTTAGAATTGCGTCAATGGTAGTGGTCATACATAACTTCCCATTATGTCCATTATACAGTTTTCATTCTTTATTTACAACATTCCTATGGTGTAATCATCGTGAATGTAGCTGATATTTACATAAGGGCACATTAAAATATGAAATAAAGCTTAATGTTATAGCAGTTGTTAAAAAATGATGGTGCTAAACTTCTGTTTAGGATTTTTGGAGCGTGAAATCAAAAAAGATTTAATACCAATGTTGGATACAGGTGAAAATCCAGATGCTCCACAACCGAAAGAGATGATTGATTTAGAGGTGAGTGGTAAAATAAAAAATTAGTTAATTCATAATAGAAAGAAATAAGTTCGTTCTATAAAATTGTGTTTTTCAATTATTTACAGACTGAATTTTCAATTAGATGCCGACTATTACAGGCAACATTCGAAAAGTTAGAGAATGAATTACAAGAAGTTAATCAAAATGAGGAAATGTTGAAGAAGAACTTTTCGGAATTAACGGAACTGAAGCACATTCTTCGGAAAACGCAGCAGTTCTTCGAGGAGGTATTTTTTATGAGTCATCATTTTATTCGTAAGCTGAATTTTATGAGGTTAATTTGGATAAAATAAAGAAGTAAGTGGGTCAATATAAAGCGAAAGAAGTGTCGAGGTAGCAAGATTATCTTATGCTGAATGGTAAGATAATTCGATAATCTGGGAAACAACTAGCTAGAAAATTAAAAGAAGCTTCAGAATTTGTAAATTTACTGAATATCATCACAAAACCGCTGAATCCTTCGAACTCGATGAGTTTGGTCTTGAGCGATCTAAGGTTTTGTAACTTTATGCTTCTCGTTGAATGAATTACATAAAGAAATATTGGACGTTGCTTTCCATATATTTGTTCTGCGGTAGTATTTTGTGCAATTTTTGTCTGAGATTGTTGTGAATTAGTTTCTGACGTTATTGGAATTAATTCATAACACTTTTATAATATTTTCATTAACATAATTCTAGTTTTAGGTTTGTTCTACTCCCTTCTTGAAGTGCTTTTTCTGAAATTTATATTATCCATCAACAGCATTCATAACTCTGCAGTCGGATTTCATGGTTCGGCCAATTCCCCTCTTTCCAATGACGCTATATGAACTTTGTACTTTGAATGTTTTATCGTGGAAAAGTTACGTTCACTGGTCATGTTGAAACAGGGTTTTACGATATGCTTAACTTAGATCCGTGACATCGGCACTAATTTTCGGATTTTCCCACAAGTATACACATGTAGTTGCTAACATTCTGCCTTTATGATATTAGAGCACATTTTCTTAATTTGCCAACCAAATTCCAAAGCTTCACTAATTGATCATTAGCTTTAAAGTGATCTGACAGCCTGTCCTCATCTGTTATGTTTTCTCATCATTGGCTTTTCTCGTGACAGTACATTTTGTCGTTTGAACCGTTTCTTAACTTAGTGAATGCAATACAGATGCTTTATGAGGTATTAATTGGCATTAATTGATTACCACTTTTTCATCATTGATTTTTAGCAATAACAGTAAACAGTTGGGGGTACGAACCATCGATTTTTTGACTAAATGTGGTTGCGGTTTTTCAGGAAAAGCACTTCATCCAGTAACATATCTTACCTAAACTCATTTTACGTTTGCTGATATCCGAAAGCTTAAAAAATTATTATTAGTAGCACCACTTTATGTGTTCTGAATAGCACTTTGCCGTTTTTCATTGCATAGTATCTCTGTGTGTCTTCTAAAGCTGAGCTCTGTGAACGATACAGGTGGAATATGGTAGGTGGCCGTATGCAAGACGAGAAGAGAATCAACGTTTTATTCCTGAAGAGGAGCAAAGTCTTTTGAGCGAATCGCGAAGCACGGCAATTTTGTGTTTGGGGTAAGTGCAATGTTGTATGGAGTTAAAAATGAATTAAGTGGTGTTGGTCTCTTTTTAGTCAATTCTATAATTTTGTAACTTGTCTTTTCCAATATGTATATTCCTATCCTCGATCATATTTGTATATGCTTGGTTAATGCATGAATAGCTGTAGAATGTAACAAGCGATTGTGTCTTTGCTCAGAAATATAGACACAATGTAGCGTAAGTCATAAAACTGCGTTTCAGTGGATTCTCTTATTGCATGTCCTTATGAAAAGTTTATAGATTGCACGATTCACACCTTGCTCAAGAAAAAGTGCGAAGAGAATTAAATACCTGCAAATTCCTTAGATTTTATGAATTCTTCTGAATTTTTTTCTTTATATCTCATTCGGTGTGTTGCTTAGTTGTATCGGTATATTTCTCTAAACATATTTTTTTGCAATTGAAATGGGCTTCAAACTGAGGATAGAACACTTGTGATTACGCCTGGCCAATCTATATTGATGAAAAATGAATTTCTTTGATCCAGCAAGCTGTCTGACCGTTGCATTATTTTTCATATCCTTATTAGTTGCGTTACAAGGTTATAAAACTTAAAGCATCGGAAAAATTTCTTGAATCGCTGTGGGCTATACTTTTCGGGTTCGAAGGTCACAGTATTTTGGAGAAAAAAATATCTAAAATCTCCAACCAATCTCTGATACTTTTACTATCATTACATTTTTTCTCCGAGATTGGATGATTTCTTATTAGTTTCTGCAAATTAAGAATAAATCGGGTTGTTTGTGGTACAAAAAATAGTTTTGTTGCTTCTGTTAGGCTGGAACGGAAACGATCGTGCCACCAAATGCGTCAGTCGGTGGCGGCCTCCCGGAGCAGATCGTTTTGCAGGAAACTGAGGGAATAGGCATCGAGTTATCTGCCGGAGTCACCGGCCAAATGTTTGCTAATTTTGGGTATGTCTCTTGTTCTCTTCTTTCTTTCATGTGCGCATCTAAAACTTTATGTGTGCCATTCATGTACCGTAACATTTGGCTTGAACTATTTTATTCTTATTTAATCAAACATTCTAATTTTGAAGAGTGTAGTAGCTTTTTCTTGGATGTAGCTTCTTGATATGCAAGTTTCCCGTCTCTTGTAAAAGTGGGTATATATGTTTGCACACTGGAAAATTTAAAAAAAAATTTTTGAAACTAGTATTTGTTTGATTCGGCAAAATTCAAAGTCAAATTTCGAAATCATTGATTCATCTGGTGTTATTCTGAAATTATTTAACCTGGTTTCTATCTGCTACTTGTTATAACATTTTATCAAGTTCATTGTTTGTATTCTCTTGATTGTTCCTTGTTTTCCTATTGTAGTCTGATCCTAATTCATCTGAAAGGAGACGAACATCTATCAGGTTTTCCACACCACTTTAACTAAAGTTTTTCTTAAAATCTTTTGTTGTTTTTTTGTTGTTTCTATTCAGTTTAAACGTTTTTCTCAAATCTCAAAATTTTAACTGTTCAATCGTGGTTCATCGTGGTGTTAAAATCTGTTTCAAGTATGAGGGTCGCAAGTGTCGTACATTTAGTTACGTTTTCTGAATTTTATAAGGCAAACATCCTATTTGGAACATTTCCCCAATCGTATTTTGTCTCAGAGTAAAAAGGAGAAATAATGTTTGAGACTTTCTTGTTTATTATTCTTTGTTTTGGTATTCATTTCACTTTTGGTATAAATTAAAAAATTTTTGTTGTAGTTTTGTTGCTGGTATCATTCAGCGAGAACGGCTTCCAGCGTTTGAACGACTGTTGTGGCGAGCCTGTCGTGGCAATGTCTTCTTGCGGCAATCTGAAATAGCGGAACCACTGATAGATATTACCACTGTAAGTCACTGTTTCTACACTCTGTCACTTTGGTTGCTATTTTAGTTACCGTCTTTCTATAAATTTCGGTTTATGTAGTAAATTTCTTCGTTGAATTCTTTCCTGATTAGAATATAGGTTACTTCCACAATTCAGACGGACAATGAATTTCTTACGCTAAAATCTCAAGCTGGCGAAATATCATAATCGCCAGCTTTAACTAGATCTTTAGTATAGAATGCTAAGAAAGCACAAATTCAGGGAGTTTTTCAGGGAGATCCAGTCAACAATTCAGTATTTATTATATTTTTTCAAGGTGATCAGCTGAAAACTCGTGTCAAAAAAATTTGCGAAGGGTATGCTTGTTTGATTTACTAAAAACTGATGCACTGATAATCTAGTTCTTGCACATGAAATTTTATGTATTCCAGTTTTCGAGCAACTCTTTATCCGTGTCCAGACACTCCTCAAGAACGGCGAGAGATGTCGATAGGAGTGATGACCCGTATTGAGGATCTGAAAACTGTTTTAGGGCAAACGCAAGATCATCGACATCGTGTCCTGGTCAGTTCTATTCCATGACATCTTAATTCATTGCTCTCTTAAAATTTAAACCGCGAAACGTTCTGCAAGATTAATGTACATTATATGAGATCCACCGCAATTTTTTTCAGGTTGCTGCATCGAAAAATGTGCGAATGTGGCTAACAAAGGTGCGTAAAATTAAATCCATTTATCACACGTTGAATTTATTCAACTTGGATGTCACTCAGAGATGTTTGATTGCTGAGTGTTGGTGTCCGGTAGCTGATTTGAATCGGATTCAGCTGGCACTCAAAAGAGGAACGGTTGGTTCTGCTCCTATGTTTACACGTTTTTTGGCTGTATTAGTCTGAAGTTTTCAGCAGGCTAAAATTTCTAGAGCATTATTTTATTTTCTGCAAGAGTCTTACTGAGAGATTTATAAGCTTCGAAGACTTCATATGTTTTAATTTTAGGAAGAATCAGGAAGTACAGTACCGTCAATTCTAAATTGTATGTCAGGTATAACAGAAGCACCTCCAACTTTCTATCGTGTTAATAAATTTACCCGTGGTTTCCAAAATATTGTTGATGCATTTGGCATTGCATCATATCGAGAAATAAATCCGGGTACAATCTTTTCAAGCTGCTTAGTAAAAGCACTGGTCACCTGAAATTTTCTTAAGTGCAAAATGTGTAGACTTAGAAAGTTTGAAACTATAGATTTGAAAAGCTAATTTTTTTGATGGTTAATTTTTTTCATTTCAAAAAAACTTGTCTTTTAAAAATAAATTAGAAAGTATTTCAAAAAGGAGTTTTGTTGCTAATAAAAAAAAAAACTAAATTAGTGAAAAAATGACTTCTAGCTCCCTACACAATGGTCACATTCCCGTTCATTTTCGCCGTTATGTTTGGCGACTGTGGCCATGGATTTATTATGCTTCTCTGCGCTCTCTTTTTCATATATCGAGAAAAACAGTTGGAAGCAGGTCGAGTAAATAATGAGGTTTATAGTTCTGTTATGTTTTTAATGTGGAGTTACATGATGTAGAATTGAAAAATAATGGAAGGACTCATTACTGGTCGCAGTTTTATGGTCGTGTAGGGGAAGCAAATATTTTTGCACTATCTGTAGAAAGTTATGTCAATACCATTTTAAAATATAGTTTGAATTAATATGATTTGCAGATTTTCCAAACATTTTTTAATGGTCGTTATGTGATATTTTTGATGGGTTGTTTCTCTGTATACACCGGATTTATCTATAACGATGTATATAGCAAGTCGTTCAATTTATTCGGGAGTTCATGGCGTAATATCTACGCAGATTTAAGTAAATATGACCCTGAGCAAGAACTTATGCTTACACCACAGTGGGCTTATTATAATTTGGTTAGATATTTATATATTTGTCCTTGTTTTTTTCTTGAACTTCTTTTGAATATGATCTTATTTCATATTGTCATTAATTTTTTTATGTGATTATACTTCTTTTTCACAGCTTATTTCTCGATTTCAGTCAGTTGGACCTTATCCTATAGGTGTTGATCCAATTTGGAATCTTGCTGAAAGTAATAAATTGAGTTTTTTGAACTCAATGAAAATGAAAATGTCTGTCATAATTGGTATTGCGCAAATGACATTTGGTCTCATGTTGAGCTATGAGAATTACAAGTAAGTTGTGGTTCAAAATAACTTTTTTATGAAAGCTTTGTTTTGAAAAAAACAGAACATCAATTACTTATTCAAAAAATTCCATTTATGAACTGTGTCTCCTGATTCTTTCAACTTTACTTTTGTTTCTGTTATAAGAATTCACATTAGATCGTGAATTCTGGTCGGGTTAAGAACATAAGTTGGACAAGAGCTGATGCAAGCCACTTCTTCTGTTTACAAGATTTCCAAGATAAAAGTGATCTGATTTATTATTATTGTTTGCAGATACTTTGATTGTCGCTTGGATATCTTATATATGTTTATCCCACAAATGTTCTTTCTTGGTTGTATTTTCATCTATCTGTGCATAGAAATTCTCGTCAAGTGGTTGCTTTTCTCAGCTAAAGTGAGTACTCCAGTTTTTTAGAATTCGTACCAAGTTGTATAGATCCTAAAAACCTGATTTGCCATATAGATTAGCATCTTCATCACCAATAGTTACCACAATAGGAAAGCGTATAAAGTCGAATAGTTTCCAGGCAGTGATTTCAAATTAAGTTTTAATAAGCAAATGATCAAAAAAGATGCATAGCACCTTAACATACAAATGAATCCGTAATGACATGCATTAAAGAAACCATTAAGTTATTTTCATAAAATGCTCCAGCCGTTCCACGGAAATGTAATTTTCCTTTAAGTATTGATATGCTCAAACTTTTCCAGACTTCTGTAGTTCAATTCTGTCACTATCGGGTTCTGTTTCAATGGCTTCTTTTATGTGCGAATATTGCAGAGTGGCTATGTTTTGGGTTATGAATATCCATCATCTAATTGTGCCCCGTCGTTGTTAATAGGACTTATTAACATGTTTATGATGAAGAATCGCCCATCTGGATTTATCGATCCTAAAGGAAATGTGTATCCGCAGTGTTATCTGAATTTCTGGTATCCGGGTCAGGTGAGCTTTTAAACTTTTTTATTTAAATGAGTTATCTTGAATATTAAATTTGAATTTCTATTGTGTTAAGTGTAGAAGCTAACTAAATATGTCAAATTAGAAAGAAAAATTCTATATAATTGTACACTGTAACATTTTTTCTTAGTTTTCGTACTTTTCGTTTTCTTACTTTTCGTAATTCGAACTTTTGAATACTTTTAGTCATTCTTTGAAACTTTATTTGTGCTCATTGCAATAGCGTGTATCCCAGTTATGTTATTTGGTAAGCCGTATATGCAATGGAAGGAGCACAAAGAACGAGCCATCTTGGGCAGTTCTAACTTGGTTTGAAATTTCTATATTTGAACGTGTTTGAAGCACAAGCACCATCATCCGGGTTGGCTGAAAGTTATTAATCAATGGATATTTTTTCTGAAATTGGAACCCAAAAAAACTCTGAGAGAGCTCTTTTGTTCAAAACTTTAAACTGTAGCTTTTGGTAGAACTTTGCTTTCAGCTTATCCGGATTAATAATTGTTACTGTTAGTGTTCAAATTTGGTAACATGTGTTTGTGGTTGTGTGTGTTTTTAGGGTGTAATCGAAATGACCTTAGTGGTGGTGGCTATGATTCAAGTGCCGCTCATATGACTGCAAAATTGTACGCATTATATAAAGGGGGCATTCCAGTCAGTTAAACAGTTCCCTGCAACTTAGCAGGCAGCTCAGCAAATCGGTCATTTTTTGAGAAAATTAAATCTCTCTCTTTTTTTTTCTTCCAATGAATTATTTGGAGTTTCAAAATTCATGATGTGTTCAAGGTTTAGATTTGCGTAACTTTGGTTTTCCAGTGGGAAAATGGGAATTGGAACGAATTCAACTATATAGCGTCGAGCGGCACTTAAATCACTCGTTTCCAGCACTTTTTCACGAAATTAATTTTTATCATTTTGTGGTCAAGTGGATAGAAGCATGATTAAAGATTCTAGAGATTTATAATAGAGAATACATTATCCCCACTGTAAATTTTTCGTTAAGATGCTTGCACGCTATTCATGAATTTGTTCACATGCTTCGTTTAATATTTTTTTAATTGCTTACTCTGCCATGTTTATCTTTATATTCGCAGAATTTTTGCAATATGCGTTTCATTTTTTATTTTTTTAGAGTGTTCGTGCTGAATCGAATGATGAAGATGTACATATAATCCACAATGATTTATCGAGACCATCAGCTACGCATATTGAGGAAAAAGTATGTTTCATTAATCGTAATTTCTAAGTTTCGGACAAGGTTTATCTGAAGATGCATAGAAGGTTTTGATTGTGTTTCAGTTCGATTTTGCTGAAGTTATGGTTTATCAGATTATACATACCATTGAATTTTCTCTGGGTTGCATATCACATACTGCTTCATATCTTCGGCTTTGGGCGCTTTCGCTTGCTCATGCTCGTAAGTTAGGAATTGGCTGTTGATTGTTTTTTTCTTTTTTTTTTTTCATATATTGAGTTTATATTTTTCTATAATATTTAGCAAATCTTTCAAAACGGTGCGTTTTTCGTTAGTTTAATGCTGGATGGTCTTCGGCAAGATAGAGGTAGTGGGTGGTGAGAAAATTCAAGGAAAGAAGGAAAAAGAGGGAGATGTGGTAATGAATTTTTATTAGGATTTATTTGCAAAAACAGAATTTTAGTTTAAATTTTATTCCAAATTATCGACAGTATATTTTGATGATGTTTCATATCTTATAGAGTTATCAGATGTTTTATGGACAATGGTTTTCCGTCAAGCTTTCATGCTAAATGGTTATATGGGAGCATTGGCGACATATATTTTCTTTTTCCTGTTTGCAACTCTTTCGTTTTCAATTTTAGTCTTAATGGAAGGTCTCAGCGCTTTTCTACACGCTCTTCGTCTTCACTGGTGTGTTTTTCAAACTTCATTTTCAAAAGACACATTGCACAGCGTTATTAAGTAAATACCTTAATGCAGTTGTCAGAGATAAGGTTAATTGTAGTTTGTAAGGTAACGGTAGGTGCAATTAGTGAATAATTTTATGCAATAACTCGATTTATGAAACATTTCTAATTTGAAAAGAGTTGTTGGTTATTGATTATACAATACTTCTTAAATTATTCTGTTTTCCAGGATTGAATTTCAAAGCAAATTCTACAAAGGGCTTGGTTATGCCTTTGTCCCCTTTTCATTCGACAAGATTCTGGAAGAGGCTCGTTTTGCCGAAGAAAATATATAATACTTCTTAGCTTTGTACCACTTCTCGTATAATTTTTATATTGACTTGAGAATACATGATTTATTAAAATCCTATCTATTGCTTTGTCTCTGCTGTATAGTATTAGTTTTATTTGATACTATATACACAAATATAGTATCAATGTTGTTTCGCAAAGCGACGAAATTGATATCTTTCTAGAAATTTCCTGACTTGTCCTTGTTTTTTGCTTTGTACACGTTCCAAGCTTTAGATTTCTAAAATCTGGCAAACATTTGAAACATTTTAAAAGTCTCTCATTGTGAAAAATCTCATTTTAATACTTTTTTTCAAGTTACCTAGATATAGTGGTGTATTAAAATTTAATTTGCAATGAATTGTGTTTGTCTTAGTTGTTCGTTATTCTTAGCTTGGCTACCTGTTTGCTGTAGCCCTTTCTCTTTATTACTTTTTTCGACAGTGTGGAGCTTTTCAAATTTTGATGTTTTCGGAAAATCTCTCAATATGGTATTACCGTGACAGCGTTTAGTATATGTTGTTTAATAAAGGCATAGTGTTGAGGTCTGCAATGTAATAATATATTTGTACTGTTAGCCATAAATGATGCGGTACTTATGATGAATTGCCGAGAAGTGCCATATCAGTTAAAAAAAGGGGTTTTAAGCAAAAGTAAAATGAAAGGTTAATTTTCATTTTCAATTTTTGAATTCCAATGCACCGATTTGAAGTTATTCTTCCGTTGGTAACTTCACAATGTTGTGCAAAGTGATTTTAAAAGTGCCGTGTAAATTCATGAGACAGAAGTAACATCTCTCACAGATTCTTTATTAAATCTAGTAGTATGGATTTGTGTACTGATGGTGAGAACAATTTAATGGGAAAACGTCCGTTTCAAGTGTCGCGGGATGCTTGCATTTTGTTACTGTTTTCCGGCTTTCGTGAACAAAAGTTACGATGTTTAAATGAGCTCACAATTTCGAAGCTTGATTTTCTCATGTACATGAACTAGTTGGAGAATTGTGGGTAATGGAAATAAATTGTACCACCAAATACTTTATTCCTTAAACTGATTGCAACAATTTTGCAGCCAAGCTGAAAATGAATTTACGGTAAATCTTCATTTGGCAGGTTACTTTCGTCCTGCATACGTCGGTCACGATCTTGTCGTCGTTGACCAACGTGATAAGAGGTTTTCATTATATCGGGTACATCATTTTCGCCTTCATTAAATTCCTGTTCCTGTGCTACTGGTATGTCTTCCGGAATGATTAGATTGGAAGCTATAATATGAAAGCTATAATATGGCTGGAATATGACCAGTTTCTGAGCTAAAACACAGGGATTGTTTTTCTTTTTGAAAACGAAGAATTGAATCTAAAACTTATTGAAGATTTGCATAATAAATGTAAGAGTTTTCCACACCTAATCAGAAAGTTCTACTCGAGAGGAATTACTTCGAAGGATTTTTAACTTCGAGTTCTATTCTAAAGTTCGGCATACTTAAGATTGCCTAATGTCCTCATCCTAAGCATTTGCAAATCCTAAACAGGTTTAAGAAGTATTTGGCAGATATTTTATCCACATTCAGAAGTGTTTCTCAAGCTAACTCAGTTTATTGATAACATATTCGATTAATAGTCGGTGATGAATTTTCAAATGCATATATTTGTAATATTTAAATAACAGTTGATTTTTACATCTGTACACCATTTATAATGAGTTTTTTTTCATTTTGTATTTAAATATAGTTTTTTGATATTCTTGCATTGAAACAGGATCAGTTTCTTCTGAGCTCAAAATTCTGTGATACATAGAATTTGGCATAAATTAAAAGACTAAAAGGACTTACATCTAGCACTGACTGCTGATTTTGAAGATGATGTGCAGGATTTTTTCAACGATTCCGATTCTTCTTGTGTTCCATGTTCTGATATAACTTCCCAATCATATGGTTCGTTGAATAAATACCGTTTTCTTATCATTGGTGATATCATCTGAGAATTTCATCAATTATTTTGATAATTTCTATTCCACATCTTGAACTTTAGGGAAAATATGAGTTGAATTTGTTATTGATTTCCGGATGATATCATTTTTCGTCAAGGTTATTATCATTAAAAGTTCATCGCAGATCATTACCACTTTGTACATGTAGTGATAATCGGGCCTATCCGGATAGCGTAATTTACGGAGATGTGTTAAAATTTTTTCATAAAATCCCATCTTTCCGTTTGATAGAAGTTGTTTATCAGAAGTAGATTCTTTAATATAGAGAATACGATCTTCACGTGCTGCTTTACCCCACGGCAGATGATTACTGCGTAATTCAATCAACATGTACATCAATGACCAGAGATCATCAACTCGTCCCTAAAACAAAAGATACGGTGTAATTATCTACTTTCTTAAGCGATTATTTATTTATTCGCTTTTCAATTTATTTGTTATCAGATTATTAAATTGCAGACGTATAATTCCGAAATTATTATGTTCCCTGACAGACTAAAATGCATCTCTTGTTTTCACTTTTATATAATTTAGACTAGCATTTTAAGTTTACACATTTTTGAAAATATGTAATGCTCGCAATTTATAACACTCAATGAATTGATCTAATCGAAAGAATCGGTATGGTCCGAAATTACTTGAAAGCTTGTTTCTTTCATTTTCATCTTAGTTTTTACAAACCTGCTCATTTCGTTTATGAGTATTCACTGAACAATATCGCAGTGTTCCACGAAGTAAAACCTACAAAATAATTTAGCAAATTTTTACACATTCATAGAGAGAGAGCGGATATTTTCTTCTTAATATCAATTAAAAAAAGAATAAATAAAGATTTTCTTCCTAAAAAATTACGCTTATGCAAAATTTAAGTTCTTTTGTTGAATTTAAAAGTAAACCCGTTTTCTTGGTTGTCTGATAAACCATTGTTTATTACTATAAATTGCATATTTTCGAACCATCCCATAGTCCAGTAAATAAATAATATGACGAATAGTTGCTGATATTGCTATATTACTGGGCTTTATATCGCGATGTACAAAGCCAATTTCATGCAACTGCAACAATTTAAATTTACAGAATACTTCGATGCTTCCTCGATAACAAATATTTTTAATATTTAAATTTGTAATTTCATACCTGCTTAATGGCATACAAACTTAGTACAGCAATGCGAAGTGTGGTACTTTCGCTGAATGTCTCCAAATTGTTCATAGTTTTGAGTGTAAGCAAATCCGGACCGCACAATGTCATTACCATGTAACTGCATAGTTAATATTGCAGTTGAAAACTTAAATCTTTCATTATGTTATTCCTATTCGATATTGAAATTGAATTACAAAGAACTCTTTGATATTTATCGTTTTATAAGTCACAATGTTTTGTTGTTCCACTGTTAAATAAATATTGAAGGCTTGTGATGTAAAGAATTCAGAATTAGCTTTCTGACCTATATGTTTCTCTTTTACCACAATACAATAGACGCACGGTATATTTACGACTTTGTAGTTGTTTTAATACTTCAACTTCCAATTTTAAAATACTATCTGTTGTAGAATTTGATTCAGCCTATAAGAAAAAAAACAAAACCATTTGGAGATTTCAATGATTATGAAGTTGAAATTCAGAAGTTATCAAAAACATATACTTTTGCAGTACTTTCTTTTTAGTTAATTTAAATCATTTTTCATTTGGTAAGTAAAAAAGCATTAACCATTAATTGATGACATAAATGATTCATTGGAATTTAATTTCAAATGAAAATTTGATTGAAAAAAACTTACTTTGAGAGCTCCACTGATTAAAGGATTTGTTACGCTCTGTACCTCATAAACTGCCCCGTAAGCACCGGTACCTAAAATTCTTCTTACCAACCATCGTGCTCCAACTATCTACAAAAATCCAAATTTCATGATTACAATTTCTATTGTTTACTAATGTAACTGAATTGAAGGAAAGAAAATCATAAAATTTATTATCTTAGATTAAATTCAATTTCATGAATGAATGAAATGAGTAAAGAAAGCATTTACTTTGCCATTCGGAAACTGTACAAGTTTCGATTCACTTCCCTCATTAAAAGATTTCATTTTAACTGCTGCAACAAGTACTACCTTGTTGAGATAACAAAAATAATAAACTAATTGCTATACCATCTTTCATCTCTTTTATTTACTACACTAACTTCATACATGATATGCAAATTTCATTAACATGTTAATTTCAAATCACTCTCACTTATGCAATCTTCTGCAACAGAATTCAATAGACTCATATTTGGATGTTCTCTAATTTAAATACATAATGAAATACCACTTTTTCAGAAATTTTATTATCTGACAAAATTTTCGGCAAAATTTCAACAGTTTTTGAATACATTAAATGGCGGATAATTAATTCTTCCATCGTAATTATTCAGTAATCGTATCAAAAATTTAAATTCCAATCATTTCCAATGAAAAGAAAAAAGACAAAAATAAATTATAAATGAGTAGAATTTAAAATTTTTTATGAAATCTTTTAAATTTCAAGCATTTCGAAAAAAAAATTTTAATTCTAAATCCAACCATTTCAAAAAATTTAAATTCCAATCATTTTCAATCCAAAAAAGGCAGAAAAAAATTTATAAATGAGTAGAATTTGAAACGTTTTACCTTTAATCCATTTCTTTTATACAACTTTATATACATTTCTTTCACATAATTATATACACAGGAAAATTTTTAATCATAAAACATAATATCATTTTTAGGATTATAAACCTTTAATCCATTTCTTTAATCCAATACCATTTTTAGGATTACAACCTTTAATCCATTTCTTTTACACAATTTTATATACATAGGAAATTTTCAATCATAAAACACATATCATTTTTAGGATTATAACCTTTAATCCATTTCTTTAATCCAATATCATTTTTAGGATTACAATCTTTTAATCCTTTCTTTTACACAATTTGCATGATTGTAGCAGTTTTGTTAAGATATCAAATATTTATTGCAATGAAATAAGGGCTATATAATTTTTTAAGAACACGCTAATTAAAAAAATTTAAAGTGGATGAGGTGTTTTTTTAACTGATGTAATGAAACGTTTCAGTTTTAATGCAATTTCCATGAAATGTCCAATATGATATCGATCATAATATGTTTGTTTAATATATTTTTCTACCAAAGTTTCATTACTTTTTGTTATCTGCAAAATAATCAATAATAATTTTCCATATAAATTTTTAATCGAATAGAACAGAAAGAGTTAATAGAATTTTGAATAAATGTATTAAACCTGATCAGCAAGTAGGGAAACTGCCATTCTCTTAGCATACGGTAATGCTCCATACGGTGCACTAAACACCGATATTAACGCTTTAAAACTTTCTTCAACAATAACATCATTGTTATTCTTCTAAAATATAACTTATTTCAAATGAAAGAAATGAAATGCTTTAAAATACTTAAAATATAAAAGATTATATGAGTATAGTTAAAGAGTTATATAAAAGATTATATGAGTATAGCTAAAAAGTTAATTCATAAACTTATTTTGTTTTTTAATAAACTTTTATCAATAATATCACTGAATTTCATTCAAGATTAATTAAAATAAAATAGCATAATTATTCTGTGTGAGAATAGTAATAGATGAATTGGAATGAAAATTTAACTTTATAAGTTAGCTTGCATTTTTTGATTTTTTTTAAATTGAAAAGATTAAAGAGAAAAGAAGAAAAGCAGAACCTTTTCAACTTGAAGAAGATTTTTAACAATTAATTTCTGCCATTGTATAAAAATATTGATTAATTGTTCACGATCAACCAAAAGTGACAGAATACGACCTACTCGAGCGAAACCATCAAATTTCGGTAGCATTATTTCACCCGTATACAAATAAGTGAGTAACTAAAATAATTAAGAAGTTGATCATATTTAATATAAAAGATTATAAGCTATAATTTCAAACGAAACTAACAAATTTCATATCATGATCTGTTAGGTATGGAAAAATGATCCGATCTTCAGTGTCAATCACAAGTAGTTGATCAGTTGGAAGTGAGCATTTCTGTCTTAGAATACCATCTAGCACAAATGATCGTCGTTTAAGAATGCTTTGATGGACATGATAAGATGTTGCATCATTGTTTGCACCACTTCCTAAAAATATTATTATACCTTATTAATGTTTGCTAATAAATAAATTCAAATTAACTAATTATCAGGTAATTACATTTATTTATTTGCTAGAGTAGAAATTAAAGATATGAGATAAGAGATGAATATTGTAGTTGATTGATAATTAATTAATCATATTTTTGATTCTTTTAAATTAAAAAGAAAATAAGGTCAAAGAGAAGAGAAAAAAGCAAAAGTTTTTCAACTTAGAAAAGATTTATTTATCTGCTACAGTAGAAATTAAGGCTATCAGATGAGAGATAAATAAAGTATTGTAGTTGATTGATAATTAGTTAATGATTGATAATTAATATGTTATGAATTTATTTATTAGTGCTGTAGTTTGAAAAAATTACAGTACTAATAAATATCAATCATCTGATAGTGTTGAAAACATTTTGAGCATAATTTACCTCTTGTAAAAATAAAATCTGAATCAGAACTTGGTTTACATGCCAGTACTACTTCTAGCAAATCATAATTTTCAGGATTCAATAATATCCTAGAAAAATTCAATCAATTAAAAATTGCAACTTGAGTATAAAATATTCTTCTGTCTTCTCAAGAAACTTATATCTCTCTCATAGATTTCCTCTATTATTTGAGAAAATTTCAACTTCTTAAATTTACGACAATTTGTGCAGATTAAATATGAAGCAACTTGCCGCAAATTTTAACATGCTTTGAATTTGCAAAATATTGTAGTGAAAAAATAAATTTCAACATTTAAAAATATGTACTTTATTGAAGACGTAGCGGAAGATTCAATAAGTTCTTCGATATTGAAATAATTCTTATTAATATTCATCGAAATATACAGAATAATAAATTCATGATTCTCAACCAATTTTTGCAAAATTGATTGCTTAATCAGATTACAGCAAATATAACCATTATTCAGAGGACTTTTAATCAATTCTCCTGAAGCATAGATTTTTTGGCATTTCCGAATTTCTTTTCTTCATATTTATTATTACAATAAAATACTTACCTTCAGTAATTGCTTCTAAAATTTCGTCTTTTTTCACTTTAAGAGTTACACGAACATTAGATGCTGGTGGTTGTTTCTGATTATTTGGAGAATTATTGCCAATTGCTCCTCGTGGTACTTTCTTTTCTGGATTTGCTATAGGTCCAAGGCTTTTCAACAATAACGAGAAGCATTCATCTATTATTTATTATGGAAATGAATAAGCTATCAAAAAGTGTAACAGTTTGTGTTTAATTAATTTTACAATTAAAATGCTTTCAGAAGGCTTCAATTTGGATAATTATACTTCAGAAATTTGGATAATTATACTTCCATTCTAATACATGGAATATTTAAATAATTTATAAGATGATTGTTTCAAAAAATGATTAGACATATCATTTATTAAATATGCAATTTATACTTTCTTCAAGTGCTAATTTATAGCCATAATTCCACCAAACATGTCGATGATAGACAATCATTGGTACGAAAGATTGCAATGAGCTGCCCACTTCAGTTATAGCCTGTAAAATTGATTAAGATTATTCAAATTTTTATTTAATTTTTGAAAAATAAATAGCATTTATGCTATTTGCTTCTTACTTGTATACTTTTTTGATGAATTCGAAAGTTATATTGAAATTGAATATCATTAAATTCCACATTGCCAAATTCATCCAAACCAATGCCATTTTCGAAATAATTTGGTAGAATATCTGAAAATGATAAAAGCATAAATCAAATGATAATTTCGTATAAATTTGCATAATTTTTACCTGGTCATCATCAATTAGTAAAGGTTTGAATTATCCAGTAAATACTATAAGGAAGGAAGTGCAAAATTATTGCGAAAATAACCTTACCTTCGTCATCATGAACATGTAGCCATGATTTTTCCTCATTGCAGTATGCGATAACAGATTTGTCAATCTATATAAAAAAGAAATAAAGCAATTAAAAATGAAATTATGGTTCTATTTTTTGACCAAGCAAAACTAACTATCTCCTCTCAACTTCACTGTAATTTTGAATGCAATATTTGACATATTTATGTGCGTTAATGTTATGTTTACTATCAGAATGATCGTAATCTTAAGTAACCGTAATAAACGATTAAATCGTTTTAAACATACTATACTTTAAATATATCTAAATATACTTTTAAATAAAATACTATGTTCAATTATACTTCCAAATATACTTCCTTGTTAATTGCATGTTAATATGAAGACATACTGTTATTATAATAAGGATTTTTTATTGATTATTTCTTTTCTAAAAGATATTCCTTCCAAAATTTTGGATGATACCCTTGTTATAATTATTTCGTTATCATTAATTTCTAAATTGCTATAAGTTTATATCGAAACTCTCTAATACTTCCATTAACATAAATGCTGTCTTAACTTAAAATTTCTGGAAAGAATACCTTTGTTGATTCTGTCATTACAGCTTTTTAACAATTCACCATACGTCAAAATACAATGCCTTCGTCTGAAATTAAGATAAATAAAATTTTGGATATTTATAAATCTTGGTAGTCACCGTAAATGTTTATATTCTTATAGAATTGCAAAGAATTTAAATTTCATAATTTAAATTTTATATTATTCAAATTTTTAGTCCATATAAATTCATTTTATTTTTGAAATGTCATTTCGTTGTAATATCAGAAAAAAGAGTGGTAATATGAAGTAATGTGCAGCATTCGTTTATTACTTCATTTATTCTGTGTTACTTTATAAATAGCTTTGAATATCGAATCAGTGATATTAAAGTATATTCCTTGAAATACTAATAATGATAACAATGATAATACCAAATGTTTACATTTATCAATTAGAAAAAGAAATGCACTCGGGATTTCCGTTTTAAAACAAATTAATTATAATTTTAAATTTTTGTTGGAATAATTGAGAATTGAAATCATGTGATAATATTAGGAACATAAAGAGTTGCTTAGTTTGCAAGTTAAAACTTCATACAGTATTATTGTGTAAAGCTATCAGTGCGTATGTAATTGTTGAAAAAATCCGACAACAAAGGTTGCATAATTATATTACTAGAAGAAGGTAAATTTGTGATTAGAAAAATTTTTTAAATAAAAGAAAGAATTATCGAAAGAGGTAATCGAACAATACCTATTGAGAAATATGTGATATTCGACAATAGTTATTACCAATAGTTATTATTCACTTACTATGTAATTTATTAATTAATTGCATTCGTATATTTCATAAAAATAAATACATATTATTCTGCGCAGCTCATCTCATCTCATCTAAAAAGTGATAAATAATGATATACAAGTGATAAATAATATTCTTAAGATGCTGATAAAATTATATCATCTGAAATGCTCTTTGTTTAATTATAAGATAACAGTAATCAAATATAAATTAAGTTTAACAAAACAATTATATTCAACTTTTTATTATTTAAAGCAAAATAATTGCTAATAAATGCTGTAAAAGTTATTTGGATGATGCTTAGGAATGAAAAAGAATTAGAACAATGAAATTTAAGAAATTAATGATCGATATATAATTCCTTGGTGTCATCTGCTAAAAAGAACCAGATGGAAGGCAAAAGAATTTATTTAATTGCATAATGAAGAAACCTTAAGTAACTGGAAATAAGCATATTACTTCATCCATGATTTTTCCTTATGAGAACTATTGAACAATCAAAGTATTGTAATACAAAATAATGACGTAATTGCCATAACAAAATTATGCATTGATAATTGATAACAATGTTTGATAATAAAATAATTCAAAATATAGCATGCTATTTGATGCTTTGTGCAATTTTTGATGCAAATATATAAATGAATATAAGCGGATTTGTCACAATGACAATACCGTTGGATGCATAATAATTCTATTAATGGAATATTATCGCAAAGATAATTATGCAAACATACTAGAAGTTGTAAAAGATGTGATAGAATGAATGAAATTTTATTGTAGGTTTTCATTACGTACGTAAGGTGGCTGGAAGTTTAAACTTTGCCTCTCTTATTTTTGAGGAAAATCTCTGGTTACTAACCAAAAATTAGGATATTGTTCAACCAACAAATTTATCCTATTCAAATATTCTTGTTACTCCAACGCTGACAATTAAACTTCCAAAAACTTAACGTATCATTCCGACGTAATCCAGACGTAGTATTCGGTATATCGATTTCCCAACGTCATTTAATAAATCTAAAAGGGGAAAAAAATATATCAGAAATATGATCGATGAAACAATGCTTATTACAATGCTCGCTCATCAAACTTTCAGTTTTGCCAGCATAACAATTTTCATTCTGATCGCTATCATACAATGCGGCAAGAAAAAGTTTTTCTTTCCTTCACATTCACCTATAGAGTTAAAATAAAGGATAGAAGTCTTGATAATTATAGCACATAATTATAATCAATATTACAAAGGAAGTTAAACTTTTGAATGTATAATCTTAGATACTTTAGCAATACATTTGTAAATAATTTTAGATAATGATAACGAATTATTGATTATCGTGAATTAAATACTACTACAATTTAGGACAATTCTAATCATTGTCTGGAACTTTTTATTCCAACCACTGCTGATCTTTTATGGCCAAAAGAAAAAAAATTTCGTATTAAATTTAGGACCAACGCTCCAGCAATCGCTGGTGGTCCAGTAGTAACACCAGCAATTTTACCACCAATGGATGAACAGAAGACACAATCTGTGATGGATGAAGGTGGTGAAGGTGAAAAGAAGAAAGAAGAAGAGAAGGTAGAATCTGCAAAAGAAGTAAGTCATTTTAAATTAAAGTGAAAATTTTCAATTTCTTTTTTGTTAACAATTCAATACGAAAAGATATGGTGCAATATTTTTTTTAGGGATTATATATTGTCAAAAGGGATTTCGGGTTCAGTTACAATTATTAAATCATATAAATATTTGAAATATATGCAAAAATACTTCTACTTATTCGACCTTTCTCAAAACTTACGCATAACTAAATATTCCGAGTTTTAGTCACATTTTAAGGTTACAAATTTTGATGATATTTGAAATCACTTATGAGTATGAAATTTGAGCAGAACTGAAAGTATCCGAGTATTTCATTTTTAATGAAAATTCATAATTTCAGGTTGGGGAAAAGAAGGAATCGAAGAAAGAGAGTTCAAAGAAAGAAGGCTCAAAGAAGGAAGGTTCAAAGAAGGAAGGCTCACCACAGGAGG